GTCTCTAAGTTATATAGAAGCTGAGATATAAATTTTTGAAAATGACTAAAAAATCGACTTTTTTCAAAATTAAAAAAGTTCTCCAGCGGCCGGATTTGATCGAATCGGGCTCAAATTTTCAGGATCATCTCCTTTTCTAGTGTACTTTCGAGGAAAAAATCGGCATCAAAATCGGTGACCCACCCCCGCAACCTTTGGTCGAAAAGTAATGGATCTGCCCATATATATATATAGGTTAAGATTTCATGCTCAGGGCGCTTGCGCTATGCGAACCAGGACCATAACACGCATATATATATGTGTATATATGATATATTATAAGACCGTGTGTATGATATATATGTATATGTATGGATATTTCCGGAAAAATAGAGAATAAGAAATAAAATGAAAATTAATATGCCTATTATACATTGCATATATGAATAATTTCATCATTATAAATATTGAAAGACATCTAAAATTTCGTTAATTGAAACGACGCTGATAAGCATGTACGATTTTTATTCAGAAAGGGGAAGAGGGTGAAACATAACATTGAAAATCATAAAAAAATTTTATTGATTCGTCAATTTAGACAATTTTTTTTTACAACAAATTTCTTTGCAACTTTGAGATTTTCTTGGTGGGCATTTTGTCTCATTCTTAGTCGTATGTAATATATTATCGAATATGACAAAATGTCTGAGGCGTGCTCTTTGCAAAAAAAAGTGAATTTAAAAGAAGACATAACTTCATCTAGCGTGCAATCAAAAACATCGCGCCGAGATGCATATTTAGCAAAACATGCCTCTACGTGACGAATTAAATTGAAAAAACTCAAATTTGCGTGAATCAGTCCTCCTCTTGATTTTAGATCGACCAAATGCGACACTGAAGATGAACTAGAAGAGTCTGATTTTATCGCTTCTTGACAAGTAACGCATTTTTTGTGAATTTTCAATACTTGCTTACATAGGTAACCTGTGAATCCCATATAAATATGTAAAGGAGTATGTTGCATGTCCGGATGACATGCAACGAGAGGAAATATTCTAGTCTACGATGATATCTATGAACAAAACTAAAGCATGCAATAGCAATTCATGGCAAAAACGAGAAGCAATATCAGTCTACAATACAAAAATACCTACGATATAAGAAATAGATCTTAAAATAAAAAACCTGTAACGTAGTAAATAATACAGTCAAGGATAAGGGAATCGGACAGGGCATAATCGCGGTCAGGATTATTCTCAATGACGTCATCTGCCTCCCAATCGTCGTGCTGCAGAATCTCGTCTAGCTTCGCTCGAATTTCACGTTGATACTGTTACGCTTATCCGTGCGTCCGCTGCTCACTCACACACTCACTCGCGAACGCGGCGCGTAATCCCGTTTCCAGGAATAAAGACTCTCTTTATGTTAGAAAGGAACTCGTTTAATAGGAACTCGTTTAATAGGAACTCGTTTAACAGGAACTCGTTTAATAGGAACTCGTTTAACAGGAACTCGTTTAACAAAGAGCTCGGGTGGACACGTCCGAACGAATCGGAAACCCAGAGCGAAATCTCTCAGTCAATGTGTAATCAATAAATCAATAATTCCGTCGTTAAGGACCGCGCTTCGACTTGAAGCTATTCGAGCGAAGTTCACGTAGACGAAGTTCAGCGCGCAACGGGTGTCTCGGCACGGGCGCAACAATACTTAACACTTTTTGCCTCAGACTTTTGCCCATAGGCTGTTTTTAAATCATGCAATGACAGCAGAAGCTGTGGCGACGATTGTTCGGACACAGTGCAATTTCCAAATTTTGGAGGCTTTATTATGCTATACACCGACAATATTTTATACAGCTGCAAGAACGTGGGGCTGTGTGGGTGATCGTTACACCCTGCGGCTTGACGAATGGTGCCAAAGAATTTCTAGAAAAATCGTACGTACATGTACATTTATTTATTGCAAGTAATTATTGTATTAAAAAAGTCATTATAAATTGGAAAGTACCTCCAAGTTATCTTGATTAACTTTTCCTGTTAATAGATATTGGAAATCAAATTTTCCGATGAGATAACAGCACATATCCATAGTAGATCGCAGAGATATTCGCAACGCTTTTGAAGTCTCTCTTGTTAAATATTCATCAGCCGTTATCTCCCCTTTTTGCAATGCCGTTTCCCACTCGTTTAACCATTCAAGAGATTCTTGCAATACCTGAAGTTATAAGATGAAGATAACGCTTGTACGAAAGCAATTGTCGACGAAGATAAATAAATTTTCAATAATTTATGGTAAACTTTTCGAGAAGCATCATATGCATACCTTGAAGTCTTTACTCTCTGGGGTAAGCCCTTCATTCGGAGTTTTGCGGTTCAACGCATCGAACATATCATTCATTCGCTTACAGAACCCGATCGTTTCCTCACATCCTTTCAGAGGCCCTTCCGGATTATAGCGTAAATAAAAATGTAACCCTTGTACCACAGAGTTGCTAAAAACCTGTAACAGTGCAAATACAAAACACATTACTCATGAAATGGGCAAACTATTTAAAAAAAGTGAAAACGTAAGTGGAACATAAATTACTTGTGTCGCAAGTCGAACGCGCATTTTCGAAGTGCTGTCTAACACAACGTGCCGTTGTGTTAACTTTGGACAGGCCCTCGCATTCCCAGCATGTTGGATGTCAAGGTTGAATAGAGCTGCGATGTAATCCCAACATATGTAATTGTTGGACGATTTAACCTGCGGAATTGAACACATAAACATTAATTTCATTGCGATCAGGTAAGTTACACTCTCGCGTTACTTTCTCAAAATTTTTTTTCTTTTTAGTTCGGGTTTCCAGGGATACGTTAGTCAAGCAAGTTTTTCTTTCAAGTAACGAAGGCATTATGAGGGTAAGTAACAATGAGAAAATGCGTCATACTCTCGCGTGATTCTCTTTATAAGGGCCACTTCGACCAAACTCCGATTAACTTAATCGTTGATTAGTCTACTGGAAATGACCAATCGCATTTGTCAATCTGCTTAATGAGCAAATGCGATTGGTCATTTCCAATGGACTAATCAACGATTAAGTTAATCGGAGTTTGGTCGAAGTAACCCTTAATATTTCTTAATCTTTTTTCAGGTCGATTTCCCAGAGATACGTTAGTCAGATAAGTTCTTCCTTCAAGTAATGAAGGCGTCATAACGGTAGGTAATAAAAAAAAATGAGTTATGCTTTTGCGTGGCCTTCTTAACATTTCATTATCTTTTTTTTTTTAGATTGGGTTTTCAAGAACACGTCATTCAGGTAAGTTTTTAAAAATTTGTTAAGTTTCATTGTTTACGGTTCAAAATACTTTCAAAGCAATCATAAGCTTCTAAAAACTTACCCGCAATTTTTTCTTGTTATACAGCCTGTTCCGAACATTTTTGATGACATGGGGCGCATCAGAGAAGACGAAAACTTTTCGGTCGTCATCTACAGGATGCGTGAACCACGTTTTTGTATCCTCCATCGAACCTGAGACATCTAATAGGGACCACATCTTTGCGTTCGTCGATGCGCCGTCGGCGATGACTCCGTGAATTTTCGCTCCGGTCCTTTCCAGGTACACAATAGCTTTAATAACTAGCTTCGCAAGCTCATCACTCTTTACAGGATTTTTCGAAGCAAACACTGCGATTGGTTGTGTGTATGAATCAGCAAGAGGCTGAAACATAAGAACGAGACCATGTGTTGCTTGATCTTCAATGTTAGTCGATTGCGGCCCATCGTTACCGAAGTCAGTTAATCCAACATAGGTTAAGTTTTTTGAACACACGGCCACTGACTTCCTCAAGTTAATTTCATCGAGGAGAAGTACACCATGTCGCTGCAAAAGAGTTTTCGTCTCAAAATGTTTTGCGAGCAATTTCGCAAACTCTTCGTCAAAACCGCATTTCATGTCGACAAGTGAGAAATAACTGCGGATCGTTCGATGACAGGGCAGTGATAAAACGTTATTCTTACGGAGGAACTCGTAGTAACCTGGTGATCTTATGTTCATCAGTAGACATAGCATAATCCACTCCTCCCCATAGCGCCGACTTTTGTCGTTTGTCTTCCCTGCAGCCGCGATTATTTCTCGGAGTACAGTTTGTTGACTTGTTGGTACATTTAATTTTGAGCATTTGTCGACCAACGTTTCGCCACGAATCGAAGCAATTTCGGTTGCTTTATTTTGCAAGGATTCTTGTAATAATTGTATGCGTTTCTGGGCTGTTTTCTTCTGCTGTCTTTCACGGAAACATTTTTTGCGCAGCGCGATTAACTTCCTTTGATCTATCGGATTGGAAACTCGACATACACGCTTTAACGATACTTTCGTTTTCGATCTCGCTTCTTTCATGTGCACTATGTTTCTCACATTTCTGCAGTGGTCACACCTCTTCCGTTTTGAGATCAATGTGCAATTTTTGGAACGCCATCGATCGACATAATCTTTAAATGCACTATCCGCCGACAGATGATGAACGTTGATGGTGCCGAGACCGTTGCACACATTTATATTTTGAAACTTTTTCAAAGCTTGCGGTAGCGACGCTATGTCCTCCAAGATTTGAGGGAGTTTACATCCGTGTACTTTAACGACACTTCCATACACGAAGTAGCGAAGTTTTTTGTTGGCGCAAAGCTGTATACTTTTTTCTATAACCGGGAATTTATCGTCGTTTTCCATCTTCGTTATAGCGTATGTGAACAAAAAACTGCCGATATCGGTGCTTAGTTCACCGACAGTCCACGGCCATGATATCGAGGTAGAGTCCGTAATTTTTCCAGGAGTACCTATGCAAACAGAGACGAATGAAAACTTTGAAAAACGCGCTTTACGGTTACTATTTAAATGCGATTTTACTTAGGGTAGACCGGGGACAAAAGTAACAGGGTACAGTTGTAACATCGTGAATATTTCTTAAACTATAAAAGGTACGTGTGTATGACCGCGAGGCGAAATCCGCTAGATAGAGCGGCATTTGTTCCTTAGTTCATTGCCGCCCCTCGCGGAACGTGCACGTGTGCAGGAGAAGAAATTACTTTTTTCCTTCCTGAAGTAAGTTTTTTTACGTGCATAAAATCTGAAATATTTTTCTTTCTTTATGCCGAAGGTATAAGGTTTTATTTTTATATGTTTTAGTGATTATTTATGTTGATGATTTGCATAATACGATTGACTTTCATCCAAATATTTATGTAAAAAATTTACTTCGAATCATAAAATATCATTAGGGGACAATTGTAACATCAATGCCTGGAAATAGTTGTAGCGTTACAATTGTTTCTGTTGCTCGGGGACAACTTCAACTTAACCTAACCCTTTAAATATATATGATTATAAATAATCTTTCAGTTGAGAAAACAGTATTATTTGTTTTTGTTTGTTATAATGTAAAAATACTGATATTGTCATGTAACAAATTATTTTATCATTAAAGTTGCATTTTTTTATAGAAAATTCGTAAGATTGATTACATAAACCTACTAAATAACCATTATTTTGTTTATAGATGATGTGGTACAATCGTTCCCCTCTGCTGTTACAATTGTCCCGGGGGTTGGGACGGTTGTAACAGTATTCCTCATATTCTTTAAACAATAATAACTTTTTTCCTAGTTACATTACTGAATTCAGCACAAGAAAATTTTGTAGTCAAATAAATTCTACATCTAAAGGTACAGGTCTTTTTTACGTAAATATTATATTTTAACTGTTATAAAATCTTAAACTCAAAATGTTACTTTTGTCCCCGGTCTACCCTACCATAGTTAAAAGTGACTTGTGAAAAGTGAAAGCGACCTTCACACACATCAGGTGCACAATGTGCCACCGGATGATCCTGAATTTGTTGCTCGTGAAGTGACTCGACAGTGGCTACATCCTGAATTTGTTGCTCCTGAATTGGTTCGACAGTGGCTACATCCTGAATTTGTTGCTCCTGAATTGACTCGACAGTGGTTACATCCTGAATTTGTTGCTCCTGAATTGACTCGATAGTGGCTACATCTCTTGGCGAAAGATCCTCATGGAGTATTATATTCGTGGTTTTTATATCAACTCCATCCATTACCGAAGACCCATTGGTTTTTACATCTGTGAAAAGAATTCAAATTTAAAACGGTAATTATATAGAATAACTAACACAGCTTGGATTATTTTGACCTTGACATATGTTGTCAAGGTCACCCTCCTGAGTGACCTTCAAAAGTTTTTAGCCGGTGGTCGTTATTCGTTAAAAAGTTATTAACAAAAAAATGTTTGGAAAATATAGCAGCTATTTTGAGTATTGGAAGGCATAAATGACTAATATATATGTCGAAATAGTTC